ACTCGGCGGGGTCGCAGCTGCCTCTGGAAGGCACCGAGAGGTACATTTTTCGCGCAATGGTCAAAATCAAGGTTTTGTAACGCGAGCTGTGCCACAGTGAAATGGCACTAGCCTGCTGACTTTGAGGCAGCAGGCACCATCATCGGACGATGTCGACGAGCTGGGTCGCTCTCTCGCGGTAGCCAGGTAGCCCCCCATTGCATACTAGTAGCACCAGCCATGGCCTCAGGGTACAGGGAGCGCGGGCGAGGGCGCTGGGAGCAACACGGACACAAAAACATCAAAATTCATCAGGTCCACACCACCCGTATTTGCATCACCCAAACCGGCCCAACAGTTTCTGCGACACCAGCGCGCCCGCAACCAGGCCGGCGTAGCCCGCCGCGATGCGCCGCGCGCGAGAGCGCCTCCGCGTCGCAGCGCGCGCGCCGACGTGCGCGCCGGCGACGGCAAACACGTTCGAGAGCCAGAGGGACGCGAGCACCGACGAGGCCAGCGACGCTCCTGCGGCGGCGCCGACCCACGCGCCCACGTGCGTGGCGACCGACGCGGCGGCGCACTCTGCCAGCCGTGGCAGCGCGGGTGGTGCGCGTGCCTGCTGGTGGCTAGGCGCGCGCCCACCAGGCTCGTCCCCATCCTCGCTGGGGGCAGTGGCGGCCGCCGGGGCGGGGAGGCGGGCGAAGGCGTCCCCGCCCGCCGCCAGCAGCACCAGCGCCGCCGAGCGGAGCGGCGCGGCGAGCGGGGCGCGGCCGACCCACTCTGCGAGGCCCGCCTCAGCGCAGCTAGCCGCGAGCCGGAGCCGCCCGCCCCTTGCGCAGAGGGACGGCTCCAGGCCGGCGGCGAGAACGCCGCCGAGCGCGGCGCCTATTCGGTGGTCGTGCTCAGTCAATGGTGAACCACCCGCTTGTGGCCAGGACGCCGCCGAGCGCGGCTCCTGCGGCGGCAGTGAGCCTATTGTGAATCGCTTCAAACCTGATCGATGGGGCGCACCGCGAGCCCGGCTGCGGCGGCGGCGGTGCGCCTCCCGGCGCTGCTGAGGAGGATCGAGCGGGCAAAGGCCCACGCGGCGCTGCGTAGAGACCCCGTGCCGAGCAGTGTGCCGATGGCCACGGTGCCGTGGGACGAGACGCGAAGCTTGCCGCGACCCGCTCGGTCGAAGAAGAAGAGGTAGTACGCCGGTGGCCGCTCCTCCGCACCGGCGGACGATGGCGGGTCCTCGCCGGCCGGCAGAAAGTTGCGCACAGCGTGCGCGCCCGGGCCGTCGGCGCGCTGCAGGTAGTACCGCGTCCGCCCGACGGGCAGCCTGGTGCGGGGCAGACGGGAGCTGTGGGTGTTGGAGGGTGGGGCCTCAGGCAATGCGCCGGGAGGGTCGAGCTGAGCCTCAAGTTGGAGATGGCGTCGCCAAAGACGCGGTGGCACGAGAGCGAGCCTGAAGGCAAGAGGCGAGCCCTGACAGGCACGGTGCGAAGGGCAGCCAAGGACGCGGTGGCGCGAGAGCGAGCCGCTTCCGACGACCGGCTCGAGCGCCTTGCGCAGGAAGCCCCCAAAGTTGTGCACGCCGCCGTCGTTGAAGGCGTGCACCTCCAGGCAGCCAGTCAATCAATCAATGAATCGGCCAACCAAAGTTGTGCGCGCCGACGCTTTGAAGGCGTGCACCTCCACGCGGCGCGCGAGCCCGAGCTCCACCGCCTCCGCGCCGCCCTGTGGGAAGAGTTCTGAGAAGCTTCGGCGTGCCAGCCGGGGGCGGCTGAGAGGCAGGCATCTCGGAGGTGTCTAGGAGGTGTCTAGGAGGTGTCTAGGAGGTGTCTCGGAGGTGTCTAGGAGGTGTCTCGGAGGTGTCTCGGAGGTGTCTCGGAGGTGTCTGGGAGGTGTCTCGGAAGGTGCATCGGAGGTGCATCGGAGGTGCCTCGAAAGGGTCTCGGGGGTGTGTCGGAGGCGCCTTGGAGTGGCCCGTTGCGTAGCGCCGAAACCCAGCCAATTCCGAGAGGCGCTCTGTGCGCCGGCAGTTCTCGTCGTGGAAGCGCAGCAGCGCCTTGAAGTGGGGGTTGGCCTGCGGCCGCCCCAGCAGCAGGTACGTTAGGTCCACCGCCACGTCCTCGCCGCTCTCCGTCCCGCGCGCTACCGTCCAAGTCGCTGGGCGGTCGCCGGACAGCCGGGCCACAAAGGCGAGGCGCCCGTCGGGGGAGAGATCGAGCACGATCGCGTCGTCGAGGCCGCACTCGTGCTGCCGGAGCCGATCCAGCAGCGTCGAGGCCGAAGGGCTCTCCTCGCCAGGTCTGCGCGCCGGTGCGAGAGGCGCATCCGCATAGATTGCGGCCGAGAGAACCGCACACGTGAAGGCCTCCTCGCCCACCTCCTCACGCGCGAATGCGCGGATGCCGGGAGACGGGAGGTGGCGGTCCTGGGCGTGGGAGGCGGCAATACGGACGGCAGCGCTGGAGCTGCCACCACCGCTCGCGTCTTCGTCGGCCAGCGCCTCTCCACGCCTCTCGGACCTGGCCCTCATCTGATGGCTAACCTCGAAATCTGCACCTTGGATGGCTCGCTCCCTGTTCTTTCGCAGCCATCCGTGCTACAGTTGTAAAGATGGCGACTGGCACTCGTCGCAGAGGCCTCGCATTCGACAAGTCGGGAACGGCTCTACCCGCAACTTTATCGCTAACACGCGCGCACCGCCGAGCCTGCGGCGGGCGCGCTGCAGCCGCACGTCTACCTTCGTCATAGTGCCACGACGTGCGGCCTAGAATTAGCACACGTGCCTCTGTTCGCTAACACTCACACATTGAATTGTCACCGCCAGTGAGTGCGAGATAGGGCTGGCCGCTGGCGGCTAGCCCGTGAGGAGGGCGACCATAGACACCTCACTAACCCCACACACGGTCTCGTCCGTGCCTCGCCGGCCGGCGAGATTGCTAGAGGTGGAGGAAGCCTGCTCTAGCCTCGCATATTACCTCCTGTCGTCTGTTGTGATGTTGTGCCCTTGTTTGTTTCTCTTGGCACCTTGGAGTGCTGGGCGGGGCGACAGGAGGAATGTGGCCCTGAGTTATGTGTACGCCAACTCAGGGTGTGTGGCAGCCAGCTGGCTGTGTGTCTTGTGAGCTTGTTTGTGTCTGTGTGTCGCTCGTGCGTGTCGTCATCATCTGTCTTGCGTCCACCCATACCGCGTTGGTGTCCAGTCCGAGCCTGGCTGTTCTTCACCTTTCTACCTACCTAGATGGCTGGCACAGACGGGTCTCCGCAAGCGGGTTTTGGCCCATGCGCATGCTCTTCCTCGTGCTCGCCGCGCGCTCGGGAGCCGGAGTGGCGGGGTCGGAGCTGCTGCAATGGCGCGAGTGGCCGCGAGGGGTCGTGCTGGGGCTCTCCAGAGGGCGAGACCACTACGCGGTGCTCGCGGCGGCGCACGGGGCAGCTTCAGCTGAAACAGAGCCTCAGCAGCGCCTTCAGGCAGTGCAGCACAACGCCAGTGGCCTCTCTGGAGCTGTGCGGCGGCTGGCGGGCCTGTGCGACGGCGCCGATCCGTGGGCTCGGGACGCGCAGTCGGCTCGCGTGCCGGTTGCCGAGTCAGCCTGGCTGGCGAGAAGCGCCAAGGCCTTCCCTGCATTCTGGGCGCTGCCCAGAAGTGCGCAGTACCTTTGCTGCGCCGACGGGCGGCCTCGATGCGGATTGCCGCGAGTGGCGTGGGAGCCTCCAGTGGCGCGGTCGTTCACCGGCGCCGCCGCGATCGCCGAGGCGCTGCGCGGGAACGCGGTGCTCACCGACCTCAACCTCGACTCCAACCAGATCCGCGACGAGGGCGCCGCTGCGATCGCCGAGGCGCTGCGCGGCAACGCGGCGCTGACCAAGCTCGTGCTCTGGGACAACAACTTGGGCGACGAGGGGGAGGGAGTGATTCGGGATGCGGCGAGCGGGCGGTTCGAACTCAAGATGTGAGGAGGTAGGGAGGGAGGGAGGAAGGTAGGCAGGGAGGCAGGCACGTCCTCAGTGAAGAAAATCCCAAAGAGAGGATCGCGAGTAACTGCCACGAGAAGGTCCAAATCGAAACCGCTAAATTGATTGCTAAGGATTCTTCGCTGACGTATGGCAAAGCCAAAAAGCAAGTAATTCAGAAGTTAACACAGATTGATTGATTCCATGCGATGTTTTTTAAAATCTCTCTCTCTGTATTTGCCGGGAAATCATAAGCCAGGAACCAAGCGAATTGGTGGCTTTGTCTATATGCCCCACGCTACTACAAACACAATTACGAGCGAAAATTCGTGCCGTCGGGGCACTGCCACTGGACGCGGTCCGTCGCGGATCCCACAGCCGCGGATCACTCGAACGCGGAATCGGCCAGGGATCATGAGCGGCTCGGGGAATGCCGCCTGCGCTTCCGCAATTGTCATCAAGGATCCTCATCTAAACTTTGCCTTCGGCGGCAAGGCCGACTTTCGCGGCCGACACAACGCGTTGTACAACTTCCTCTCGACCCCCAGTCTGTCGGTCAACGTAAAGATAGAGGAGGCTATCTTCACTCTCGGTCCCGTCTCTTCAGCCTCCTCTTCCTTCAGTCCTCGTCCCTGTGAGCTCGCTTGGGCGCGCTTGTAGGTTCTGGCGACGGGCTCTTGACCGTTAATGGCACCTACCTCACCGAGGCACACCTTGTGGCGAAGCTCCAAGCCGGCTACACCGCCCAGGCGTCGTTCTGGGGGTCTGAGCTCAAACATGACAACTGGGGGTGGGACATCGTCAATGGCACATGCGGGGGGCGCCGGTTTAAATTCGGCAAGCGTGGGACTCAAAAGTGCCTCGAGCTCTCAATGTCAATGGGGCACTCCGCCGCAACTTTCGTGCTGCCCGACTGGACCGTCAAAGTCAGCGCCGACCACGTGTACAATCGGATTTCGGGCCCCGAGCATCGGCCCGCCGTCCAGATGCGAATACATAGAAGCCCTTCTCTCGAGCACACAGGCACGACCCCTGTACTCGTTAGCTGCCTCACCCCCCCCCATCCCCTCCACCGTGCAGGATCGACGTGCGCTGCACCGACCCTCGCTGCCGCCACCATCGCACTAGCGGACCACAACACAACTCAGCAAGGCTCTGATGCTGCAGGTGGGCTTCACAGCCAATGGCGACGCGATTGCGCGCTCCATCCCGCACGGCCTCATCGGTCTGCGGCTCGCGAGCCGCAGACCGGAGTCAGGAAGCCGCCACAGCATCGCCCGCATCGCCGACGGCAGCGTCTGGAGCTGGGGCCAGGGAGGCTGGGGCCGGCTGGGCCACGGCGACGAGCAGAGTCAGCTGCCGAAGAGCCAAGAAGCCCTCCAGCGCGAGCGAGGCGTGGAAGAGCAGAGCGAGACTGCCGCGGCGCGAGCGATGTCGGCGGGGCGAGAGAGGGCGAGCACGAGGAGCTCCGTGGGGAGGTCGAGCAGGCGGGTGGGCGGCGTGCCTGGCCGAGGGAGTGGCGGCGGCGGCGGAGATGTGGCGCGAGCGGTGAAGAGCGGGGAGGGCATTCGCCGAATAAAAAAGAAAGACACTGGTCGATAACGCTGAGCTGGCCAGGGCGGCGCCGCGTGGAGCACCGCGTGGAGTGCACACATGAGGTCGCTCCGGCTGCTTGCCGTCGCCGTTCTGGCGGTGGCGGCGGCGCAGGAGGAGGAGGAGGAGGGTGACTTCAAGTCGGAGAACGCGCGGCGTCGTGACGAGGCGGCAAAGTACACGTACTGCGAGGAGGACAACTGCTACGACCTGCTCGGCGTCAAGCAGACGTCGCTGGCGTTTGCCATCAAGCGCGCGTACCGCCGGCTGGCCGCGGAGTGGCACCCGGACAAGAACCCCGACCCGATGGCGCGCGAGAAGTTCCAAAAGTTCGCCAACGCCTACTCGGTCCTCGCCGACACCGAGATGCGCGCCAACTACGACTACCTCCTCGAGCACCCGATGGAGTTTCCGATGCACTTCATGCGGTTCGGCTCGGGGCAGTACGCGCCGAAGACGGACCCGCGCGTCGCGCTCGCCCTCTGCGTCCTCCTCGTCTCCGCCATGCAGTACGTCTACCGCCACCAGACCCGCGCAAACCTCCTCGCCAGCGCAAAGCAGGCGCCTTCCGAGACACTTCCTCCACCGGCGCCTTCCGAGACCCTCCCTCCACCCTCGCCACGCCGGGTCGCCACATGGCCGCGAGGGGCCTCGCCCGCCGCTCCCTCGCTCCTCTCTCGCGCTGCCTCGGCTGCCACCGCCGCCGCCCCCC